TATATCCTTGCTCCTTTTGGAACTCACTTCATAAGGAGTAATGGCCACAAAGGACGCCGCGATCGATTTCTGCTTTGGTACAGCCCCGCTGCTAGCTCTACTTGTTGATGGAGTAACGTTAGCATCAGCCCGCATTTTCATGCTTTCAGTGTGTTCACTGGGATGACACTTTTTTAGGTGATGGAATAGGTTGGTTGTGTTACCAGTTTTGGTTTTGACCAGGCTATAACATATTTTACAGATCGTTTGAATCTGCGCCTCGTCGCTCTTCAAAAAGCCAAACTACTTCCATATAACCGAATTTGTGCTACCTTGTTTGTCGACAATTTCATCATTTTTGACTACTTGCTCGATGTTTGTCTCACTTTCGCCACTGCTTTCACTCATTTTCGCCGTCCTCGTCTCCAGCTTGATTAGCTAACTTTGTTCTCTGACGTGCACGTTTAAAGCTGCATGTTGATTGGCTGTTGTCGCATATTGCTAATGTGTGATTGGCTCTTACAAATCCATATCGAGTAAAAATGCCGAGAGCTTATCATCGTTATTGATATCGATTTTATTGCGATTCGATATTATATCGTTTATCGGCACAGCACTAGTGGTCACTAATGTGATGTCTTTTTTGACTGACAGCATATTGAATTCTGCCATACTCACACTGAAGCTTCTTGCCTAGCAACTGTGGCCATGTATGTATGGAAAGGTATAAAAACTGACTGAAGAAGGAGAAGAGAAATCCAGTGGGCTGACACTGACAGACAGAGACCAAGATCAACACCTTTCAGACTAGAGAGCTATCTGAGATAGTATATTGTAAGCTTAGTAGCTCCTGAAATAGGGAAAAACTGAGAAGACTGCACAGGAACCAATATGTTTTAGAGTCTCAGGAAAGAGCTTGCAGGGCTAGCTCTTAGTGGCACCTTCTGTGTTCGTTACATGTGACAACTTGTCATCCTACTAACAACACCACACCAGGCACCTACAAATAATCATTTAAATTTCCTCTGTAAGATACTAGAAGGCTATTTTTAACCAGCAACCTTAGCTGTACCTTATTGTTAAACACCAGTATTTGGCTTACATGTGCTACTATGAGAGTGACTGTAACAGAAAAAATATGACTGTATTAAGTTCCTGTTATAATGATATTGGAGGGTTCCCTTAGGAAATTATTCAGCAGCATTGCATCTCATCTCATGATTTGTTTAGTTTGAAGAAGCTGTCCTAAACAATAGCCACAGTCCAACATATGTGGCATTTTCTGTTTGGAAGCTCATCTGCTCTTTTCCCATGAAGGTTAAAGTTTTAATATTTAAAAGTGTATTCAGGTTTTATGAAGGTAGTGGAGGTGGTTTTGTTTCAGGGGAATATAAAGTACAGTGGAAAAACCTGGACACTGTATTTTAATTCAATGCATCTCTCTCTGTTTAGCTTCAATTCAGTTTAGGCAAAATATTCAGCTAACATGGACAAACTAACTTTTACACCACAGTGACTATTAAATCCTGTGAAGCATTCATTTAATATAATATGTCTTGAGAGTTCAGACTGCATTATTTTCATGCTTCACGTGCATTTAGAGCCATCTTAAATCAGCCATTTAGGTGACAGATGGTGTTAGTGTGATGCAGCTTACAGCTACTACACCCGAATGAATGACGGTTTTAAACAATCTAAACAGCACAAGCATATCGCACAAATAAGCAGGTGTCGACTAACCTTCATTAGACACGGGGCTTTGTGCATTGGACTGAGCAGTTCTGGGATATCTGGTCCTGTATACCCTTGTGAGTCCGGGTCAGATGAAAAATCTTGATAAAATCGTACAGCCTGGGCCGGAAGTCGACATTCATACAGCTGCTTGTACTTACTACACACCATCATAACCTCCTCTGTCTTGGTCTATAGGAGAAACACTGTCATGAAATCTGCAATGTGTTTAGGAGTGACAACTTCAAACATTAGCTGCAAAGTATTTAAGATTTTTATAGTTTATTAACCACCTGGTTTTTCTACTGCAATTATGATCCATTATTTACAATGTGAAGCTACAGCTATGTGGAGGTGAGCTGAGGTTGTGTTGTGACAGTTGTCAACGGTAGTTGATGCGTACGTCATCTGGAAACTCCAATACTTCTTCATGCAATGTGCAATCAAATGGTGCATTTCAAAATAAGCATTACCTAGCTTACAAACAAGTTTATTTGCATTAGTTACAGAAAATGAAGTTATTTAAGGCTACCTAACGGCAGACTACTTTCTAGCTAGAAGCTAACCTTTAGCTTCCCCAAGCACCCCCACTCACCTGTCCCAAGATAACGGGATCGGGAAGAATTTGAATCCCATATTTCATCTCATTCAGCTCCTCTAAATTCAAGAAGGCTAGAACACAGAGGGGACATATTAATAAAAAAACGTACAATATTTTTAGCCACCGTACTGAGGAAGCAGCCATGATGATTAACTCTTCTTCTCCTAACCCAATTTGTGTGACAGCAACAAAACACAGAAAGCCTGACATGGTAGCAGCGGATTGGTCAAAGTGAGACGCGGTGCTAAATCATTGGCCAATTTTTGTGTCTGTCAACGGTTTTCCAGTTCTGGGGTGTGCTTGTTAACTACACCAGCACAGACTGAACGGACAGCGCCTCTATGTTTGTGATACTAAACGTTAGTGTTAAGCGACGCACATGTCCGCTGGGTTGCCATAAAATAAACTCACACATTCAGACTAGCGGGCTTCCTTTGGCCTCTTGGATGAGGTGTGTTATGAGCCAATTTGGCCAAGTTAAATTCATGCGGGTTAATTTATTTTCCTATTTGGTAACACCACACAACTGTTCTGCCCAAGATTTCTAGGAAGCACACTTTACAAATATAACTATAAACCTCTTCAGTTAGGCAGGAATGGAAGATGTGAACTCACAGTGTTTATGTCCAAAGTGAATGTTTGCATATTATAGCATGGAGATAGAGGCGGACTGTCAAAAAATAAGCAAACATGCACTCACGCATTCCCATACATGATATTCTACAAGATACTCACTCTCTCACTCACACACATACACCTAACGGTGTGTGCACAGGCGCACACGCCCAGCTATAAACAACCACAGTCTACACTTATGCGCACATTATTTTTGAATTATGTGTATGAGCATGTCTTCAGTGAATAATCAGAAATCATGCTATAGTTCACAGGCGTCCCTCTGGAGTATACACACTGTGCTAGATTTGCCGTCGCTTGTCAGAGCTCTGTAATGCTACTGCACCTCTGACCGCTGAGTGTTGTTTTGAGGTGCGGCACGCTCGCCACTGCGCTGCTGCTGCTGCTTCTGCTGTAGTGGGAGCATCGGTCCTCAGCCTGCAGTGCTCCGATGTGCGGCCGTCTCCAGCCTGCCCCGTCTTTGCACATAGCCTAATCTAATTTACAAAACCGCTGAGGAACAAATTCATTCAAACATGCGGGAGGTGAAATACTGTGCGTCTTTGAACGGAGGTGAGCTCCTTGTTTATATGATTTGACTGCAACAATAGGCCTTTAGTGCTATCTTCAGCATCTTCTTTATGCCTGCTTTTCCAGCACTGGGTTAACATTTCACAATTGCGCTATGGGACAAGACATGGGACAAAGAGAAAGGCGTAAATATTTTAGAGGCAAGATAACTGACGAAAAAAATGCTTAAACGCAATGAATCTTTGTAGAAAATCTGTTTCAGACTACAATGAGTTGAACCGAAAGATATAGAAAGATCCGTGTGCACGACCATTTTCCCCTGTTGTCTTATTTGGTAGCCAAATGGCCTGTTTGGAGAAGCGCATTATATGCAGATATAATGCGCTTAGCCATAAGCCAGGCATTTATGCTCGCTGGCCCGGATAGCTGCATAGATGACTGCGTTACATTTTCTTATGTTAAAGGGTGTTGGACAGTAGGGTGGCCGTGCAGATTCAACAATCCATCATTTGAAATGATCCATTTGAGGAAACAAATCTGTCACGCTCACACTGGGGGGACCCACCGAGCTACATTTATTTCTATTTCGACATCTAAAGCACGTCTACAGTCCTCCTTACCTCATCATATGGGCTCGTTTTTAGGTAAATTAACTAACACGGCACCCACTTTATTTGATTTGGCCTGATGACTTAGATCATGTCTCTTTTCTCATGTGTGAGGATGGTTAGGCTCATATCATTACAGCTAATTATCATTCAAAATGCAGCATTTAATTCCACCTGCAGGGTGGGTACTGTGGGGTTGTCAGCAAGCTTACAGCATTGTTAAATTAAAATGCACTTATTATACAGTAGCATTCATTTATGCTCACTGTTCTTCATACTCTATAGAGCTTTGGTTTATAGTCTGTATTATGTTGTGGCTGGGCAAAAATTATATAATATAATTTTTCACTGGATCTTATAATTAGAAATAAATTCTAAACTACATATTTTAGTTACAAATGTTACACACTTTTGTGTTTAGACCTGTGAGGTAAGTAACAGCACTCCTTCTATGAGTGAATACTGGTGGGCTTGGTATATATAACCTTACTAAAAGAAGAAGAAGTGCTTTTAGACAGAGCACTTTGAGAAACCACTTCCTCGGAGAAAACCCAAACAGCCCAGCTGGCTGGCTCAGTGCTGATTCTGTTTGTCTTATATTGATTTTCCAGTTTGCCATGATAACGTTAAATTGGTCATTCCCAAATCCCACAGAACTTCCCTGGGGGCTCTAAGAACATGCAAGTAGCTGATAAAGCATAGTGTGGATGCTTGATTGTGTTTTTATGTGATGATGATGCATTTGCTATAAATTATTTTGTATGCAATCTACACTTCTGTGGGAACTAGTCTGTGATGCGACACTGATTTCCTCTGTATTTTATGACTAGTTTTCTGATTTGTCATTGTTTCCAGATGGGGAAGGCACTCACTTTCTGTGACTATCTACATGCTTTCTGGAGATGCAGTTGCCTACATTGAGTGCATAGAGGCAGTTGGGTATATTTTCAAATGAATATATTTTAAACATGCAAGCAGGGCTGGAAATTTGAAAATGGAGGGTATGAGAGGAGAATATTAAGGGAGAGATTTTATGTGTAACTACTTGCAGCATAACATGTAGCAGAAAGCAACAATTCCAAAGGCAGAGCATAAGAGTATCTGGTATGTGTACACAGATGTAGGAATGTGTCTGTGTACATGGAGAAATGTTGTTCATTACAGTATGGGAGAATGGATTATGTAGAATCTTGTTATTATGTTTATGTCATAGCAAAACAAACAGGAGTATTTGTTGATGGGTCACAGTCAAGGCATTTCTTTTCTTTTATTCCTTAAACATCTGTAGCTGGAAAACAAAAATGTGTTTTGACAAAATTTATAATCTTGTGGCCAAATTAATTGACTAAAATGTTGGGTTCCTCTTAGCTTGCTGAACACAAGAGAAACAAGAGCAGTCAGAGAAAGCATTCACCTCCGCCAAGTCAGAACACTCGCTCATGCAAATGAGTCCCTAGTGAAAAATGAGATCCAGAAGAACACAAAACGTGTCATAAAATCCTTGATCCAGATCATACTGTGCATTTTACCTGAACATTTCAGGGTTCCATTTTCATCATAGGGCAAGTTACGGCAGAAAATGTGTTAAATGGGATTTTCAGTGTGAACTTTAAATGGTCATCAAATCCGGAATCCGGATCTGATTCTGATGAAATTTTGTTGGGTGATAGACATTGCAACCCTACATATGTGTGTTAAATTTCAAATTATTATGATACTGTTAAAAAAAAGCCTTGTGTTTTTTTCATTATTTTTTGTGATTTGACCTTTGACTTTGTTCAACCAAAATGTAATCACTTCTAGGGTTGGCCCCACCAGTGTCTGTACCAAGCATGCTGATGATCCATCCAGCCATTTGTTCATAATCCTGCAAACCAACACACACACATACACACAACCAAAAACAAACCCTCCTTGGCGGAGGTAATGAAGTCTGGTTATTTGTGGACAAAGCTCAATGGTCTGGTCAAAACATTTTGAATTGTGACGGTAGACAGATGGTGGTGTTAGGGTACTTCAGCCAAAGATAAGGTTTAAAATATTTTGATACAAAATTTCCTCTTTCTGTTTCTTTGGATGGTGTTTATGTGCCAAGCTGCACTGTGGGGATAGTAACACAGAGACTTCTATACTTAAAAGACTGTAATTTGGCAAATATCCACTGGATTTGGCTAATTGAGACTGCAGAAGCCTCATATTAGCTTCAGCTAAACCTTAAAATGATGCTTTTACACAAAACAAAAAGTGTGCATTTTGTAGTTTGTTTCTTACATTTGTATTTGAAAGGGATCTCTTCAGGGGGAATAATTACAGCAACCACTAACTCTTAAATATGAGTAGAACATATTAGAAGAAAATTAATAGTAATAGTTGAATAATTATATGACATGAGAGACCTATTCTCTTTGTTTGTGTTAGGTTTAGGATGCGTTCCCTGAGGAAGACGCTGTTGCTCGCCACCCTGGTGTCTGTGGTACTGGTGCTGGCCCTCCTCCATTCATGGCCCACTCGGGTCTACACCACAGTGGATGTGTGGCAGCATCCAGGACCAGCGAGACAACTGGAGGAGAGGCTCCCAGAACCAGACCACCGATTAGACAACATCCCCTTTCGTGTGAGAGATAATGTGGTGAGGTCAGTGTTAGCACTTTTTACCCGCTTGATTAATCTATTCATTGATTCCTCAAACTAGCAGACCTGAAGTAAAATCTGATTTCTTATCATTCATGTCTCTCCATCAAGCTTGTTGCCACGTAATGGGTGTGTGTGTGAGGCTGAGACCGGAGGAATAAATCTGCCCTTCGCACAGCTCTTATTCCTGCGGGTGTCAGCACACATGCTGTACACTGCCTTTGAGGCCTCTGAGCTGGAGAAAATGAAGCAGAGACGGGCCAAAGAATACAAGAGTTTCCAGAAGACGTAAGCACAATAAAATAGATGTCATACATTGTAGCCAGCAGTGTTGTGCCATTTAACACTTGACAAGAGCTAGCTCAAAGTTCAATTTGCACACGTTAAAATAAACAAGTTCACATTCATAGTTAGGTGTTAGACGCACTGGGTGAGAGGCG